CTGAAAAAATCTCTAAAATTGCTCTAGTACCAAGAAGAAAAGTTTAGGAGATCTGTTTTGATGTAAAACCTGTGTAAGAAAGAGGAAAAGAAAGARAAGAGAAGGTTTATGCAAAGAAGAAAAGAGGAGAGAGATTGAAGAGAATGAGAGAAGCCAAAATTAGGTCTGGCCCCCCCTTTCATTAGCTTATATACTCGCAAATAAAAACTGAATACAAAGATAAATATGTCCTTAGTAAGTCGTCTAGTTGTAAAATCTAAATAAACACTAAACTAATGGGCCTTGGACCCAATAACTCCCTAACTATGCTATGCAAATAAAAATAAGTGATATCAACCCAAAACTCAACACATATTGTTTATTTGTTAATGGGCCTAATTCTTATGGGCCCGTTAACTCTTTTTTATTTCTTTTAAGTGATGAGCTGGCCACCCACTTAAGAGCAGATCTGTAATTAGATTTAATTAAACATGTTTAATAAAAGATTAGAGAGTTAGGAGAGAAAGCATCAAGCTTTCTTCTTCTCCATCTTCTTCTTCCTCTTTCTAATGTTTTCTTCTCTTTTCTCATTTTTCTTGCTGAAAGTTGAGAATTATTTATAGATTTATTGATCTGAATCACATCTGTATTACCATATTGTGTGAAATTGTTATGGTTGGAAACCTCCAGCTACTTTTACTTGCATGTTTCTACTAATATACTTTGCACTTCTAATGCCTTAAGTGACTAATATTATTCTCATTAAATTATAGATCCCTTTCCAAATTGGACTTTCTAAAGCGGACCTTCGGAAAATTTTGAAATCCAGCTTATCTGGGGTAAGATCAGATCCCCTCTAGAATCACATGTCCTTTGCCACTAACATGCTTTGATTGAACTATTATGGTTTTTCTTTTGTAGGTTGAGAAGTCTTTTGCCCAAATGTGTAGAAAGTTGCAAAAGAATTTAACCTCAGAGGAATTGCTGCCATCCTTATGGGATAAATGTAAGGTTAGCCCGATTTACTTTAAATAAAGTTCAAAATGGTTCAAAATAAATGTTCAATTTTTTACATACAAAGAAAACGGATATTCATCTGTAAGTGCAACACTCCAGACTATTTGGTTTGATGTAAAAATGGTGGCCTTCACATCCTAACTCTTTCAGAAGCAGGTTCTTTCACAATGTTAGTGCACATGCTAACTATCTTTCTTAGGTCATGGTTCTTCTTCTTGTACCCCCTTATTAAATCTCTTTTCTTACCCATGTGCAAAATTTCATTACATTGTCAGCTCATAAAAGAATGTAATTGGCAGTTGAAATGAATTAGGCAGTTCATGAAGTGCATATTGAACAATTTGAAGATGAGAAGAAAAGCATCATTGAAAAATTACACTCGAAAAATGATGATGCGAGTCATTCTACAATACACGAAACAAAACTAAAGTTTCTAGATTAGAATTGTTAGAGTTGGTTGAGTAAGTGCAGATTAGTCATTTAATTATGTTTTAAGTTATGTGATGATGTGGCAATTCTGTTTTGACCTTTTTTAGTTCACTTGTCCCATACTTAAGTAGGGGCATATTTGAACTTGTACTCTAATTACATTCTTCTTCTTCTTCTTCTTCTTCTCAGAACAGGATTGTACGAACCATTAAAACATGGTATCAAAGCGCTAAACAAAGGAGAAGTATGTTGTGGTTCCAAGTATCCTGACCTGCAATCTTGTCTTCTTCTTCTTTTCTTCTTCTCTGGGCTGCGCGATCTAGGGTACACAGGTAGGTGATTGCGGTTCTTAATCCAGGACTGCCGCAATCCTTATTACAGGTGTTAGGAAGGTGCAGCAGCCCTAGGATAATAGTTCTAGTACATGGTGACAGCTCTAGTAGTCATGTGGTGGTGTTTGTGGTATTTCAAACCCTTTATTGAGCAGTTTCAACTTTCAAGAGGGTTCTTGAAACTACTACAAGAGATTGGATTCTCAATGGCACACACTACATGTGAGTTAGTATGGCTGAAAAGTCTTTTACAAGAGATTGGATTCTCAATGGACAGACCTATGAGATTGTACTGCGACAACCAAGCTGCAATTCATATCTCATCTAATCCAGTTTTCCATGAGAGAACAAAACACATAGAGGTTGATTGCCACTTATGAAAGAGAAAGTCCTTACTGGAGAGATAAGCACAGAACACATGAGTTCAGGTGATCAATGGGCATATTTGTTTACAAAAGATTTGAGTTTAGGGAGAGTGAACTATATATGTAATAAGCTAGGATTATATGACATATATTCTCCAACTTGAGGGGGAGTGTTAGAATTGGTCGAGTAAGGGTAGATTAGTCATTTTATTATGTTTTAAGTTATGTGATGATGTGACAATTCTGTTTTGACCTTTTTTAGTTCACTTGTCTCATACTTAACTAGGGGCATGTTTGACCTTGTACTCTAATTTTATTATAATAGAGATTGTGGTCTCTCTTTCTTTCTCTCAAAACAGGACTGTCTGAACCATTAAAACAAGAATGATAGCTGATATGTTCCAAGAAAAAGGAAAAGAATATAACTGATCCGTTGTCCTGTTTGCAATATCTAAGTTGTTTTAAATGCAAGTGCACATAGCCTCCTATTTTATGCAATTCAGAATTTATCCAAACTCTTGCCATATCTATTCATAGAACATCCACATCCAACTTCTTTTAAATTAAAAAATTGAAAGTGGGGTGTAGGTGTTAATTTCTACTGGAAGAGTGTAAGACATGCCATAGCCATGTGTCAAATGGCCATTCAATAATTTTATTCATTTGATAGATGGCCTAGATTGGCCATTCAATAGGAGGTTCTTCTAACAACATTCCCTACTTAACTTTACTTAAAACCTGTTATGCAGGAGAGAAGAATGGAAGAAGAGAGGAGAGAGAAAAGAAGAGAGAAGAGAGAACTGAGAGCCAAAAGGGTACTTCTGGTGGTGCTAGCTTTGATATATATACTAGGGCGATAGAACATAAAAAATAAAAGAAGAAAATTACAAGAGTACCCCTGCGGTACTAAGACAAATAACAGTCTTTTAACACTCCCCCTCAAGTTGGGGACATAGATGTCAATCATGCCCAACTTGTCACATAAATCATGATGTCGTGAGTGGTGTAACCCTTTTGTAAAGATGTCTGCAAGTTGATCTTTAGACCTAACATAAGGAATACACACTTCCCCTATGACAACATTTTCTCTAATAAAGTGTTTGTCGATTTCAATGTGTTTAGTTTTATCATGCAACACTGGATTAGCAGCAATATTTATGGCTGCTTTGTTATCACAGAATAGTGTCATAGGTCCGTCAACTGGAAAACCCAACTCACCCAACAAATTTTTCAGCTACATAATTTCATCCACTCCATGAGACATTGCCGGTATTCAACTTCAGCACTAGATCTCGCTACCACATTCTACGTTTTGCTTCTCCAAGTAACTAAATTACCTTCTATGAAGGTATAGTATCCACTAGTTGACTTTCTGTTATTTAGGGATCCTGCCCAATCTGCATCAGTATACACTTCAACTTTCAAATGCCCACGCTTTTGAGAACTCTTTCTACTACTTTAAGATGGGCAGTCTTAGGGGCATGCATGAACTGGCTAAGAACACGCACTACATAAGCTATGTCTGGTCAAGTCATAGAAAGATATAACAATTTTCATACAAGTCTCTGGAATAGTTTCACATCCTTGATGGGTTCACCCTGATAGTCACCTAGTTTGTGGTTAGGATCAATAGGGGAATCAACTGGCTTCACTCCTAGTTTTCTTATATCCTGGAGTAGATTTAGGACATACTTTCTTTGGGAAATGAAGATACCCCTTTGTGAGCGGGCCACTTCAATCCCAAGGAAGTACCTTAGAGGACCTAGATCTTTCACTTCAAACTAGGTAGCAAGAAAATTCTTCAACTTCTGAATTTCATCCTTCCAATCACCAATGATAACTATATCAACAGCATATACTATCAGTGTTGCAATTTTCCCTTCCCCTCTCTTTACAAACAATGTGTGATCAAATTGACACTACTTGTATCCTCTTTGTTGTACTACTACATGGAACCTGTTGAATCAGGCTCTTGGTGATTGTTTCAGCTCATAAAATGATTTATTTAGCCTGCACACTTTCTGTTCATTACCTTGAGCCCGAAAATCAGGGGGTTGAACCATGTATACTTCCTCTTCAAGGTCACCATTTAGGAAGGCATTCTTGATGTCAAACTGATGTAAATCCCAGTCAAGGTTAGCAACAAGGGAGAAAATGACTCTAATGGAGTTCATCTTAGCAACAGGTAATAAAGTTTTTGCATAATCTACTCCATACACTTGTATAAACCCCTTTGCCACTAAACAAGCTTTATACCGTTCCATAGTGCCATCAGCCCTGTGTTTAACCGTTAAGATCCATTTACATCCAATTGGATCTTTCCCTTCAGGAAGATCTACAAGTTCCCGTGTGCCATTTTTATGTAATGCATTAATTTCTTCCTTCATAGCATCTGTCAATTCGGGTACCGAAAGAGCTTCTGCCACATTCTTAGGGATAGGGACACTATCAATGGAAGAAAGAAAGGCTCGAAAGGAGGGTGAAATGTTTTCATAGGAAACAAAGTGGGAAATTGGGTGTTTAGTGGTGCAAGATCTAATACCTTTTCGGTGAGCAATAGGAAGGTCAAGGTCATTAGCAACAGAAGTGTCAACAGCAATAGGGTCAGGAACATCAACAGGGACCAATGTACTTGAATGGGTATGATCCGCTCCCGGAGAGTCTGATGGCATTGGTGGTACAGCTTCTAGGTGCTCCACAGCTCTTGAACACGGTTGGCCTTTGTGACAACAAAAGAAAATAAGAAAGGGAGGAGGATCAGGAAGAGGAGAGAGATGAACTAGTTTTTCCTCATTCCTACACCCCCCCTAAGGAGAAACAGGGAAGAAAGGCTCACTCTCAAAAAAAGAGACATCCATAGAGACATAAAATTTCTGAGAAATAGGATCAAAGCATCAGTATCCCTTCTGTGTGAAGGAGTACCCCAAGAAAATGCAAGGAATGGCATGAGGATCTAATTTTCCACGAGTGGGTGACAAATTTTGAACAAAACAATGACACCCAAACACATGAGGATGAATAGGAAGAAGAGGAGCCTTAGGGAAAAGAAGCTGATGTAGGGCTTTGTACTCTAACCACTGAGAGGGCATGTGGTTGATGAGGTAGGTAGCGCAAAGGATAGCCTCAAGCCAAAAACGTTTCAGGACATTCATATGGAATAGTAACCCTCGGGCCACTTCAAGAATGTGTCAGTTCTTTCTTTCAACAATACTGTTTTGTTGTGGTGTTCGGGAACAAGAGCTACGGTGAAGTGAGACACACGAAGCAAAAAATTCCGTGAGATCACTATGAAATTATTCTTTGGCGTTGTCCGATTGAAAGATTTGGATTTCAGTTTAAAATTGGGTGAAGATCATCTACTAGAAATCTCGGATAATTTTAGGTATTTCATCCCTGGTTCGCATGGGATATACCCATGTATATCTGGAGTAATCATCAATAAGGGTAAGAAAATACTTGTAGCCACTTAGATGGTAAAGTAATAGGGCCCCGAACATCAGAATGAATAATGTGGAAAGGAAATTCAGATTTATTATTCTTTGAAGATAAATGAGTTCTACATTGCTTACTCAATTGACAAGTTTGACAAGTAAATTCTGACACTGACACTGATTTAAACAATTCTAGAAACACAACTTTTAAAGACTCAAAAGATAAATGACCAAGACGACTGTGCCATAAATAGACCTGATTCTTATAAGACTGACTCTTAGACTCTGTGACTTGAAGACCAGCCTTATTCTCCAGCATGTAAAGCCCATCCACCATACATCCTCTACCAATCATTTTCCCCGAGGTCGGATCCTGGATCACACAGTGAGAAGGGAAAATGTTACTGAGCAGTTTAAGGAATTAGTAATACTACTAACAGAGAACAAATTAATGGGAAATTTTGGGACATGTAAAACATTAGACAAGGTAAGGCCAAAAGGAAGAGAAGTAGTTCCTTAACCAGCTATGGTAGAGTATGATCCATCGGCTAGTGTCACATTGTCTCTTCTAGAAATGAGGTGATAGGTTTGAAAGTAAGAAGACTTACCATTCATGTGTTTAGACGCTCTAGAATCAATGATCCAAGGAGTATCGGGGTATGAGATGCTACATGGAAAGTTGTGGCAAAGTTACCTGATGTAGATGCAAATGAAGTTGAGGGGGGAGTATCCATCTGACAAATTGCTCTACCATAAATCTCTAAATGGTCACGGAAGGAATTTATAATATCCTCCCTTGGGCTAGATCCAGAGGTATGTGTCTGAGTCACAGTAGTAATGGGGGGCTGATTCTCCTGAGTAGCCATATTTTCCATAGTGTGTTTTCTTGTACCTTGCTGTCCTGATTTTTTATTCACATCTGAACCTTGCTTCTTATTCAGATCTTGAGCCCATTTTCAGCTTCCCATGAAGATCCCAGCATGTGTCTCGGGTGTATCGGGGTTTCTGGCAATGAGTACACCACAATTTGTCCTTGTCATCCATATTTTTCTGAAAATCCCCCTTCTTAAAGGTATTTCCCCCACCGGTAGTAACACTCCCTTTCGCTACCAACACAACTGCATCACCTCCAAAATTGTTCATCAAATTCCTTCTGCTTTATTCTGATTGTACAAGAGCATAAACTTCCTAGACGGGTGGAAGATCCTTGCTACCTAGGATCTAGACTCTCATAGATTCATATGTAGGGTTCAAACCATCTAGGAAAGCAAACACTCTCTGTTGGGAAACAAGTTTTTTGTACAGTTTTGCATCTTCATCACACTTCCAGTCCATACTCTAATAATGGTCTAACTCCTTCCAGACAGAGGTCAAGTCTGACTAGTACACAGATAGACACCTCTCCCCCTGTTTACAAGTGGACGATTCTGCCTGTAACTGGTAGATTTTTGCATAGTGACACAGTTCAGAATAGGTTGCTTTTGCTTGTTACCAGATCTCATAAAATTCCTTCTTATTTGATGTTGCATAGATATTAAAAGCCAAGACATGACCATGTTGTTTTCCTGGTTCCATCTGTCATATTCAGCACTCCCAAAATTGCGTTCTTTGATTCTCCCATTTAAATAACCTATCTTTCCCCTTGCAGTGATGTACAGCTTGATCCCTCTTGACCACTCTAAATAATTTAAGCCATCAAGAGGAATAACAGCCATGGGAAATGATAGGTCCACACCCCCACTCATTCCATTCGGCATTGAGGAAACACTAGATGTAGCAGAAGCTTCACCACTCATGATTTCAGATTCAGAAAAACACTCTTAAATGGGGTCCACAGCCTTAAAAAACATTCTAACACTAAGGGAGAAAGGAAAAATCCCTTTTTTCTTCAGAAACACACCTCTTTTAGTAAAAACATAGGTGCTGTTACAGCACTAATAGGTCATCCCGTGACCTACAGAATCAACACAAGTGTTGCCACAGTGCATATAGTTCATCTCTTGACCTACGCATCAATAGGACGGCTGTTACAGCAAGTACAAGTCACTTTCTGGCCTTCAGTTCACCATAGAAGTTGTTGTTGCAGCACACAAAATCTGTTACAGAAAGTACAGGTCACTTTCTAACCTTCAGTTCACCATAAAAGCTGTTGTTGCAGCACGCAAAAGGTCCTCACGACTTACAGTTTTACAGGGATCAGCCGACCCCACAAAAAAGGAAAGAAAGAGGTGCTGATCACCTCACATCCAATCAGCAAACCTAGTACAGGTTCTGCCCTGGCACACGACTAGACAAAAGGAGGAGAGAGAGAAAAGTTACTTCAATGCGTGAGATCTTCAATCAGCTGAACAGCAGATGAGGGCGGCAGATCTGGAAATCTAGTGCGAAGAAAAACTGTTCACTCGACTTCTTCTTTCAAATCTGATAGTCCCGCTCTGATACCATGTTTTGCAGGAGAAAAGAATGGAAGAAGAGAGAAGAAAAGAGAAGAGAGAACTGAGAGCCAAAAAGGTACTGCTGGCGGCACCAGCTTTGATATATATACTAGGGCGACAGAACATAAAAAATAAAAGAAGAAAATTACAAGAATACCCCCGCGGTACTATACTTAGACAAATAACAGTCTTTTAACAAAACCTTTTTTCCCCGAGATAGGATTAACTGAACAATTTAGCTGTTCATCAGGCTGTGGAACCACTAATAACACACCACACCAGTCATAAAATACATGGAGCCCACAACCATTCAAACTTTCAGTGTGGATTCCATGTATTTTATCACTGGTGTGGAGCATTATCATTGGTTCCACAGCCTGCTATACAGATAAAGCATTCAGCTAATCCAAATTCTTTTTTCCCATACATATGTATACTTGCATACACGTTGGACCTTTAGAAGGAATTCTTTTGATTTCGTATCCGTGGTGGCCTGTTGAAGGGTTTAATGATGAAAATGTATGATTTTGTATGCTTTTAAAGGAATTGTAAGAGCAAAAAAACAAGGCTGGACTAATCATATGCATTGAAATTGAAGTCCATTATAGGATGTAATCGGCCTAAAATAAACTTTATATATAAAGAAAGAAGAAAATAGGACTCGAGCAAAAGGAGATCAAAAATTGATCTCTCCTAACTGCCGACCACCTTTTGTTAAAGTGATAAAAGAATGGGTAATTACAATTTTATCCCTAGTTAAATAATATAAAGAATATAATGACTATTCCATCCTGCTGCCTACAAAGTACTTCTTTGATTCCATTGTGAATGCCCATCTTTTTATCCGCACATTAGGCCATTTAAAATTGAAGGTAATACTTTGGGCTAGATTAGTTTTTTATGTTTTACATCTTTATTCTGATTATGGGCTAGATTTTCCTTCTACTCTGAAGAAGGTAAACCCCGGTACTGATATTGCTAAATTACCGTGGATACTTGCAGAAGGAGTTTCTGGACAAGTATGATAGCTTTGTACAGCTGGTTGCCAAGATTTATCCCAATGAGAATGTTCCTCCTGTAGCAGAAATGAGAGAGATTCTTGCTTCCGTTTAGGAGTGACTTTTTTATGTACAGTCTTCAAATAATCTGTGCCTGCTTGTGATTCAATTTTGGTCTTAAGGTAGGTGGAGCAATTCCTTGCGTCTTTTCTAGCTTTCTAGTGGGTAACCACTAGGTTTCTTATTGGGATTATTTCTAAGTGTTGTTCCTTTATTGGCTAGAGTTTTTTTTTTTTTTTTGGGGGGGGCATAATAGGCTTTAGAGATACTGATATTGGGCACGTTTCCTTTAAATGCTGAAAGTGAAAGGTAGGGACTTTCTGGCCAAAAGTATGTTTTTGAACTCTTTGGCCCAAAAATAATCATTTTTCTATTTTTTTAACTTTATTTTCAACACAATAAATTGAATTTAGATTTGGTTCCAGTCCAATATATTGGATTTCGAATTGAATACAGATTTGCCAAAAATGAATTCAGATTTGAAGTTTCAATATCGGATCGAATTTATGCGTGGCTGGACCCGACCTGTTTATAACATATTAAAAAGTTATTGTATATAATAATATATAGTATTACATGTACATGCTTTTGGCGATAAGTAATTCTATATATACATGCCATACATACTACCTTTAAAAGAATGTAAGATATTATACATATTATACAGAATTCTGAATGACAGCCCCCCATAGTCTATTACATAATTCTGATTTGAATTGATCAGTCATTCTCTCTTATATATATACTTGCATTTCTGGCCCAGGCCTAAGGCTTTTTTGACCTGGCTTAGCTCACATTGTGTGTGGGCTTGATGTGGGAAACGATTATCCCTATTATCCACTCAAATGGTAGTTACCAAAAAGAAATTTATAGCCAATCAATTGGCATCATAAAAGAGGTGACAATCAGGTGGTATTTATGACAATTCATGGTGGTGCTTTGATTGGTTAAAGCTCTTTCAGTACCATGTCTTTCTGATATATTATCCAATTTTACAACATAAAAGACAACGGATGTTAAACAAAATTTATTAGAATACATAAATGAAAATCTACCAAGGTGTCTCTATAGTTCTAAAATAAGCACTCCACCAAGCTAAAGATTTTGCAAGAGTATATGCTTTCTATCAACTCAGGGTAAGGTTTCTTCATCCTCCTCGTCCCCCCATTTTTTTACATACTAATAAAATCTAACGGTGGCCACCCCTCCACCATGAAAAAAGAACCTTCAATTTATTGGGAACCAAACACAATTTTCACCGGGTCCCAATCTTCTATCGACACCATCCTTACACGTTTTGGAAGTGCCATGTGTCCAAGATCATGGATGTACACCTCCCATGTGTGAGACTATCCCCCAACACCCTCCAAACCCTAGGTGCTTACTGTGACTCTTGTCCTACCACAATCGCTTTCCCATGTGTGGTACCATCCTTCACCACCCACCCCTCTAAAACACAGTTTTTTTCATTTCTATTTTAAACTCACACCTGAACAATTCCACTCCACCCTCCAAACACTAGGTGCTTACTGCGACTCTTCTACTACGATCACATTCACTGGCAGCCAGTGTCCAACAACGATCATTCCCATCCAACCCCACAATCATAATAGCACTAGAATATTGGGATAATAATCCAAATTTTATTTACAAGGTAAAAGAATTACAAAAAACTTAGAACTACGACTCTTTTATCAAAAACAAATCGTTAAACAACAATGATGTCATAAAAGGTAAACAAAAAAATCAAACTAACTATAGTTAATTTGGGGCATAACCAAGCTTGGTAAAAAAGTGAAGTTCTTGCATTTCGATTTATATCCAACAATTTAGTTGATTATGAGGTAAGGGCTTGTGAAAATTGCCCTTCCCATTCCCAAACCCACTTTCAATCAAAAAACATAACAATTCAGAAATTGCAAATACTATGGACCTACAAACACCGATCACCAAAGGTTAAGAAAATACCTTGAAAATACCATTAACCGCTGCTATGAGCAGTTACAGGGGAGAGATCGGGAGAGAGAGAAATAGGGGAGAGATTGGGAAAGGAACTTACGAAGAAGGGCCAAGATTTGGCGACTAGAAGAAAAGAAAGAAGAAAAATTTTCAATGGCAGAGTTGGTCGGCAAGGGGTGGAAGGAAGATGACAAAGTTGAAGCCGTGAAACGTCAAATTGGGGAGTGGAGACTAAGTAAGGGAAGAAGATGATGAACAGTGCTTTTGGGCGTGGGGGTATTTTTGGTATTATAGAAATTTACCAGGGACTGATTTGTCCTATTTTTTTGGAGAAGTACTTAAAAGAAGCCAAGTTGAAGTCACTTTTTCAAAGAAGTACTTTAAAAAAGGGTTTCTAGCATATAAGGGTCACTTTTGGGGTTTAATATCAATAAAAGTAATATATTTAAAAAAAAAATCAAAAATATGTTAACTTTTTAAAAATAATATCAATAAAGGGCAAAAACACTGTTCATCATCTTCTTCTTCCCATTTATTTACCAGAGCCGTCGTCTGCTGCCTCCACCTCCGACAACGTTTCCGGAGGTGGCCAGAGGCAAAGGTGGTGGTGGCAGTGCTGGTGGTCATTCCTCTACCCGTCGCTGCCACCTCTGTCTCCACCCATCTCCGGCAAAGTTGCCAGAGATGGAGGCGAAGGTGGGCAGAGGTGGCGATGTTGGACAGAGAAACCACTAACGCCGCCGCTACCACCACCACCTCTGCCTCCACCCATCTCTGGCAATGTTGCTAGAAATGGGTGGAGATAGAGGTGGCGACGGTGGCAAGCAGAGGAATGACCACCAACGCCGCCGCTGCCACCTCCGGCAATGTTGCTGGAGACGGAGGCGGAGGCGGAAGTGGGCGGAGGTAGTGGCGGGAGGCAGCGGACAGCGGTGTCCGACGGACGATAGCTCTGGTGAATAAATGGGAAGAAGAAGACGATGAACAATGTTTTTCCCTTTATTGATATTATTTTTAAAACGTTAACCTATTTTTGAAATTTTTTTAAATATATTAAACCCCAAAAGTTGCCCTTATATGCTACTACCCCTTTAAAAAAAGTACTTATTCTCCCCTTTTTTATCAAGCACGCATATGTACTTCTTTTAAGTATTCTCAAACAGGAAATTAAATACATTTCTGCCACAATAACTACATTTATTAAAAATATGGGTATACCAAATCACTGAAGCTACCTCTTTTGAGAATAATTGACTCACTTGAACAACTAAAAATATTTCAAATCCTTCCCTTTAATCCTTTCTCACCCTTTTTTCGTTCAAACTTCATTTCATGAAATTACCTATCATTCCTTCCTGTTTCACTTGTACATTCATTGCACTTCCACAATGTGGCAAACCATGGAAATATGAGAAACATGATGACTTTTGATTGGCTTGATGTACCCTAAGTCTAAGCAACCTTACCTAAAATATGCTTTACCCAAAAAAAAACACCATACCATACTCTATTTGTTTTATACAAATATATACATACAACTAGAAAAACCAAACAATTTATCTGTACGACAGCAAGACATTGTCCAATTCCAATCACTAGGGCATCAAGGACACCTTATTGTTTAGGCCAATTTTTTTCTCATATATAAAAAATACCAGTTTTATAAATCGAAAGCAATGACTGGTTTAGTAAAATTGTACCTTGCCTAAATCCTAAAAAAACTTAAACCCAAACAAACAATAATCCTATAATAAAGTAAATGTTCTACAATTTGGCCCATGCAGGTCTCAAGCCTATGACCTTTGCGTTATTAGCACGACGCTCTAACCAACAGAGCTAATAGGCCATTCAATAATTAAACGATTTCAAATTGAATACAGCAACAAAATGAATGAAATTTGGAGCTAACCACACCACCGAGATAAGAATCAAAGTTGAAACAGAGATCTGATCACTGTACAAACAGAGTTGAGTTGTTCCAACTAGCACCATCTTTGGCAGACTATTCCCATTGACCTCTAATGCACACGTGTTTAGGGATCTTTTTTTTGGATTTTAAGAGGGGGGAAAGTTGGTCAATCAAGAATTCTCATATTCTTTTTTCAGCTTTATGTGGGGATCAGGGAAAGTTTAGGGATGAGTAAAATGATACCCATCTCCGAGGTGGATAAATAACTTCACATAAAGGGAAAGTGGCCAACACTTGAATGGGACAAAAATACCCTTTTTAATAATAGATATCTATGACTGAAATGGTCATTGCCCTATTTACTTGCAAAATAAAAGAACATGGATAAATATACTTACCCGAATAAGTGTTTCTTAGGAAAAGCTTACCCAGGTAATATTACCCGGACAAGTTATTTACCAAAAAGCAAACAGGATTGATAATTCACTTTCCTAGGAAAAACTTATCCAACTAAGTTATTTGCCATTAAAAGGGAACTATAAATCCTTTTTTAGATTTTACCCTCCTATGTTGATTTATAAGGATCAAGCTTAAGTGAATAACCATGAATGATTTTCTCCATCAAGTTCAACCCTTCCATGTCAATTTACTACTGCCCTGCCTCGCAAGAGAAATAATCATTCTTCTTCATTCTTGATCGATCCCAAAGTCCATTTTAATATCTAACTTCCCCAATAACGACAACCATATTGCCACTCTCTTGATAAGAAAAATCACAGAACCTCCATAACTCCCGTCGATGACATCAATGAAATTGTAATTCTTGGGCAGAACAGTGAAACAGAACCACCCCTAGTTATTTGTAAACTTAGCTAACAAGGGAACTAAATTGAAGGAGATATACCATTAATTATGATTTTGAGGGGTCCAGTCTTGCTACATTAATGAGGAATTGAGGAACCTCTCTGTTTTTGCCAAGATAAAAAGGTGTGTATTAATTAATATAGTAGAAAATAATGTAACAAGAAACGTCCTATAGCTTTGATGAGAGATATTGAGACGGAGAGAGTAATTAAAATGTAACTAGAAAGGGAAAATGACCGATTTATCCAGGTAATTAAATCCTTGGAAGTTGAAATTAAACGAGGGGGTGAGGAAAAGAACTAAAAACTCAGTCTCCTGTTCTTTCTTCATATCCTATAATCCCCACATTATTTTTTCCCTGTTTGATGGTTATAAAGTTGCATATTTCGATTCAATAGTTTCATAGTTCGCCATCCATTGTCCGTCAAATCATTTGTCATTGTACTGGTTATGAGACTAAAATGAAAATTTTATTAAATACGTAAAAATGCAGAGAGCCCACACTCCAAAAGGGCAAGAAGATCCATAGTCACTGGCTTTGTATCCATAAACGGAGAGGAATTGTCTCAAACACAATTCCTTGGGGTTGTTGGTTGAAGGACCCAGTACAAAGATTCTTCTCTTGGGGTTGGTTGAGAGCTGGCAGATCTT